CGGTGAGTACTGCAGCGCTACAGGGGTTGTTCCTCTACAACAAGGACGACACCGAGGGCGCTATTGCGATGGTTGAGGGCCTCACCGCTGGTCGCAAAGCCGAAAACCACGTGGGGATACCCGGTCACGTTGACGTGAACGAGGTGACGTCACGGTGAGCGTTGGGAACCCGCAGAAATATGTAAAACTCCGAATGCAAACGCTGCGGCTCTGTTCGCTCGGACGTGCAGATGTCAATCAGTCTTGGTGTGTAAGGGTGCCGGGATTTTGAAGCATGCAGGCGTGTGATGGTATGCAGGCGGCTCGCGCGCGCGGGAGCGTGCGAGGCTTTTTTCCTGGGAACTCCACATCGTCGCCCGGATCTAACCGCTTACCGTGAAGACACTGCAGTCGCCATTGGATGACTCAAGCAGTATTCCATCATTGACCTAATTCTGGACCGCTTCCCGCGCTTCCATCTAATCAGATCATCGAAAAGTGTGAGGCCCAACACATGGCTGCCGGTGGTTTTATCTGATCATCTGATTCCGACGTCGCGCGAGGCCGCTTTGGCGCGACAAACGGAGCACTTGTACACGCGCCCCTGGCCACACCCGGGCACCCACCCGTACATATGGCTAACGAGGACGGGTGCGGGTCATCTTCGTCGCTTGCTCTCTCGCCTGCCCATCCTTCTGGAAACACGCGACACGACCGTCCTCCCGTCTCGCCAGGCAGCTACGAGTTGCAGCCTCTGCCTGACAAAGCAAAGAAAGCAAGGAACATAGCCACGTCCGAAACCCCTTCTGATGACGATCTTGATTCGCCAGCTGGCCGCCCCGAGACTCCTACACGATCCGTCAAGACAGCAATGTCAAGAGTACCTCTCTTGGTGAGATCGAGCCCGGCGCAGGGAACAGGTACGCAAACTATTCTTCGTTGTCAAGCGCCATGGTCGTCAATCGCCCCTCGGCCTGGGACGGGTGCACAGGAGCAACGATGCACACGGCGCACAGAACCTCATTCGCTACACATGCTGACCCCAACCTCAGGTTCATATGGCGGCCTACCTATTCTTTCTTCCAGTCCAGAGGAGTCTGATGAAAATAATGTGATTAAAAACTCAAGAAAGAAGAAAGGAAAGAGCAGACTTTCGCATAGTGAGCCCTCACTACTTTCGGATCACCACCAAAATGATTCGACACGTAGTGAGCCAATCCTTTCAGGCGCTACCAAGTCACGACGCAGGACGGGTGACGCCAGTCGTAGCAGCACGACGCTCGGTGTAGCCTCTAGTGGCCAGGACTTTGAAGCTAGGTTCAACGCAAGCGGTCTTGATCCTTCTACCGCCGGCGCGCCACTGTTTGACAACTCAACCTCATCGAGCAGTACGCTAGACGATAATGATTCCTCCGAGGACGACGATTTACACGATATGAAGGGTAGCCCGTCCGATAATTCGCCCTACGCTCAAGTGAGGGCATCCGTCGCTGCTACCGACGACCTTTCCCTGTCCATTGATACCCCGCGCATGTGGTTCCTATCGATTCTGTTTTCTATCGCCGGTTCTTCAACCAACTTGTTCTTTTCCCTACGATACCCTAGCGTCAGCCTTACTCCTATTATTGCACTACTACTCGTCCACCCTCTCGGTCTGCTTTGGGACCAACTCTTCAAACGACACGACGATCCTGAAGAAACCTTCGTCGATGGCTGCTCTCAAACGGCATCGCATCCTCCACAGGCAAAAGCCACTTGGAAACGCCGGATACGGCTCTGGCTAGGCCAAGGCCGTTGGAATGAAAAGGAACACTGCTGCGTATACGTCAGCAGCAATGTATCCTTCGGCTTTGCCTTTGCGACAGACGTAAGTATCATCCATGCATCGATGTACGGTATGCTGACGACCCAAGGTCATCGTTGAGCAAGTCAAGTTCTACAAGCAAGACCTTGGCATCATGTACCAAATATTGCTCATCCTCTCCACACAAATACTTGGCTACTCCCTTGCCGGTATCACCAGACGTTACCTGGTCCGACCCAGCGGCATGATTTGGCCGAGCACACTGGTATCAACTGCCATGTTCACAGCGTTACATAAAGATGAAAACAAGCCTGCTGATGGCTGGACCATCGCTCCACGCAAGTTCTTCTCGCGCATATTCATGGGATCCGTTGCATTCTACTTCCTACCTGGTCTCCTATTCCCAGCATTGAGTTACTTCAATGTCATCACTTGGTTCGCGCCAAAGAGCGTTGTTGTTGCCAACCTGGTACGTTTGTTGCTTGTCTGAATCGACAGAGAGCTAACCTGAGCAGTTCGGAATCTCATCTGGTCTTGGGCTATTCCCAGTGACTTTCGATTGGGCGCAAATCGCATACATTGGCTCCCCGCTGATTACGCCATTCTGGGCTGCTATGAACATTCTTGGAGGCCTTGTAGGAGTGATGTGGATTGCAGCGCCAATCATGTGTAAGTAGTTCAGGAGGTTTGACTACTTGTGCTAACAGCTCTTAGACTACAAGAACGTCCTCTACTCATCCTACATGCCCATCCTATCATCCGCCGTATGGGATAATCGCGGCAAGCCGTACGACGTCAGCAAGATCTTGACCGAGAACTTCCTCTTTGACGAAGAAGCGTACAAGCAATACAGCCGCGTCTACCTCCCGATTACATACGTATTGAGCTACGCCCTACAGTTCGCCGGTCTTACAGCTCTGCTTTCGCACACTGGCCTTTGGTACGGGAAGGATATCTGGAGGCAATGGCGTCGCTCTTGGGCTGAGATCCGGAAGGAATCAGCAGCTGACTACCAGCCACTTGTGAATGGTACCGACAATAACAGCCAACCAACTTCCCCTGCAATGTTGCGACACAGGCCCAGTACGACTTCAGATCCAGACGTGGAAGACTTGCTATCTGCAGAAGATGTGCACAATCGACTCATGCGCAAATACGAGGACGTGCCGATAACTTGGTACCTTTTGACTGGCATCAGTATGGCCGCAGTTGGCATGTTCGTCGTCGAGTACTACCCCGTCCATCTACCCTGGTACGGCCTCTTGCTAGCACTTGGCATCGGTGCAGTCCTCTTCGTTCCCATCGGCATCGTCATGGCCATTACAAACCAACAAAGCAGCATCTACCTCATCTGCCAACTGATCTGCGGTGTTGTATTCCCCGGTCGACCCGTCGCAAACATGGTCTTTACGACATTCGGCTACATCTCAGCAACCCAAGGCCTGAAGTTTGCTTCCGATCTCAAGCTCGGCCATTACATGAAGATCCCACCTAGAATTCTCTTCAAGCTCCAACTCTCCGTCACCATCATCTCCAGTCTAACACAGATCGGCGTTCTGAACTGGATGCTGAACAACATCCCCGGTATCTGCACACCCTCAGCCATCAACGGCTTCAACTGCCCCATCGCCCGCGTTCACTTCAACGGAAGTATCCTCTGGGGTGTCGTCGGACCAGGAAAGTTCTTCGGTCCTGGCGCACTCTACCAACACCTGATCTGGGCCTTCCCCATCGGCGCCATCGCACCTGTTATACTCTGGTACCTCGCCCGTGGCAGCCGCAAGTCCATACTCAGTAAAGTCAACCTCGCCGTGGTGTTCGGTAGCTTGAGCTGGATTCCACCGGCCACCGGACTGAACTTCTCAGTCTGGGCGATTGTGTGCTACATCTTCAACTACGAGATCCGCAACCGGAGGAACGCGTGGTGGAAGAAGTACAACATGATGCTTAGCGCGGCCTTGGACTCTGGGCTCGCGTTTGGTGTTGTCGTTATCTTCTTTGGCATTGTGTACCCCGGCTGGATGAGTAACTTTAAATGGTGGGGTACGGAAGTTTACAAACAGGTAAGTCAGCCACATACAAACTGGGCTTCATTGGATACAAAAGCTAACACTATCGATAGGGTTGTGACTGGCAAGCCTGCCCATACAAAGAAGTACCCAAAGGCGAGACCTTTGGACCTGGGAGTTGGTGATTCGTTGATTACACACATTGGGCTTGCTCACGCGCACTGGCATATGCATTAGACGACTGGCGTTCATAAGTGGAGTTTGGCATAGACACGTTGTTGGATACACCACGTTGATTGTTTGAGCGGATTGGATACGCTCGCGACTTTGCATGTTATTTTTAGGTACTGTCGTTGGATACAATGAATCTCATTGCTATCCACTCTTTGATGGTTTTGGTAAAATTGAACGCCAAGTAGGATCCTCCGGTCGACGAACTCACTCGCCCGCCACGCCACCGCTCCTATTTATCCCTCCATGACAGCAAAAAGGACGGTAAAACCACAGTGCTCAACACAAAGATCTAGCAAAAAGTAATGAGCCCACCGCGACTTGAACGCGGATCCCCCACAATCTCGGCAAGGCTGTGTGCTATCGGTCATCTTTGGCGGAGGCGGAATTTGGATTCGAGAACTGTAAGAGGATTCGACATCAATTGGCGGAAGCTCGGACGGTTTCTCAGCCTTGTTCGTTCGCACGCTGAGACGATGCGATGGCAGCCCTGCGCGGTTTGAGATGTGGGTGTCTTACCGTTGGACTATGGGCTCTGATAGTGGGTGGGTTTGATGGAGGAGTGAGCTATTAGAGGAGGTTTGTGATTAAGGTGTTGGCTGGGGGGTAATTATTATGCGGAGATATGGAATATCAAGCTCTCGCAGGGCGGTGGAAGAGCGCTTTGGAGACGGCAGTATGGTGTGAAGGCAGCTCGGAGGGTCTTCACGGCATGATTACAAGCACAAAGAAAGATTGTTGGTACATGTATAGTTGTTTATTAGATCTCATCTTCCGCTCAGGATGGCACGAGCTGACTATATAGTAGTGAAGCTCCTTCATATCACAATACCTGTCGTGGCAATACCGCAGTCGCTCGCTACCTTCTCATAAGGCCTGCAGGTCGGGGGTAATCGTGAATTACGCGCCAAATGAATCCCATATTATATCCTTCCAAACAACTCCGACTGATCTCGGCCGATGATGCCGGCTTCGCATCAAGTCATCTTGACATCCGTCTTCAACTCCCAATATCTGCCACCGATCATTGCAGTCGCCAATGCCGAGGCGCGCTTTGCCATCTCCATCTCTTCGGTCTCGATGGTCATCTTAGCAACGCCGCCATGGCACTCGAATTTGCCCGCCCATACATCGGGCCACTTTGGAGCGGAGTACGCGTTGCTGGCAGTAACCTTCAGGTGCCAAGATCCATCGTAACCGATGAGGAATCCGGCGACGTGCTCGAAACGGTAGGCCTTCATGGACGTATGATGCTCGAAGGTGCCGATCTAGACGGGTGTTAGCGATCGTCTGCTTGGAGGGTATGTGATGACTTACGAAGACCTCTAGACCCTTACGCCAGATGACTAGCTGAACTTCCTTCTTGCCGAACACGGCCTTGAAGGTGTTGACGGTCGGGCTGACGAATGATTTGAGAGTGGCAGGTGAGACGTTGTAGAGAGCGGTGACAACAGCATCTTGAAGCTTGAGCGCGCCATCTTCTTTCATAGACGCAGCATACTCGCCGAGATCGAGGATATGAGCATGGCTGGCCGGACCGCTTGATGGCAAGGTCTCGAAGTCATCTGTGTATGAAGACGTGCTGTCATCGCTCTTGCCAGAGTCACTCTTGCCCGGCGATCTGGGACGGATGTCGGTGCCAGCCGGGGATGGAAGACCGCTGTTTTCGATGTCGATCTCCATAGGAGTGCTGTCGCGATGAGTAGTCATTGTAGCGGTGCGGTTGACAGATTGTGCGTGCTCTCGTGTGTCTTGTTCGAGATCGGTGTCAATGTCAGAAGGTTGTAGCTGCAAGCGTCTGAATCTCGTAGTTACCGGCATGGTACAAGATATATGGGTACAACAGTTGGGCGCGCTAGCTTCCGGTGAGCGATGAGATCTATGAAAGAGGAGTGGTGAGCATGGAGTCAAAGAAGGAGCGATGAAAGATGATGGGGAATATGCTGCTCTACGTGAAGCGCGTAGGCGTTTGCCATGCGGGTCACACAAGTAGCGCTAGCGGGCGAGGTCGGTGAGAGCTCATGGAAGGCGCGACGGTGAGGAAAGAGATGACATACCGATTATCGTACATGGCTTTAGTAGTCATGAGGGGCAAGTAAGAAGGATGTCATGAGCAAGTGATGGTGGTGCAGGGGAGAAACAACCAACATGCACGGTCTCGTTCGCGTATTGACAAAGGGCAGGCGAGATGAAAGAGCGACCACGATTGAAAGGCGACTTCGGATACTATGCATGTTGGAAACAAAGCCACTGCCTAGTCTTGCTTAACCATAGCTTGTCGCAATACACATTTGAGCTGTTGACAGGTTCCTGAAGGAAAGCTCTGATTCATCCATGGATGTCGACTACCTAGGTACCCTAGTATTCCATGCAAGAAAGGGCTCGCTTGAATCACCGGTCTTTCATATCCTCTTCCTTAAACTGATGCATAGATCAATGAAACTCAATGCTCAGTATATGAGACAGCAGGCTTCATGAATATGACGATGCATCAGCGGGCCACGCTGATCTCAATGTTCCACTTGGACTCCGCCTTGGGGATCCAGCACTCGTTGCTCAGGATGTAATCACCCAAGTTCCGTGCGGATTGCTCTTCCCCCTTCTTCTTGTCATGCTCAATGCCCATTCGAGTGTAACGTGGGAGGAATGATTCTGCCCATGCGTGGTGAAGCCCAAGGCGAGTGTATCTACCAAACGTGGCGGATGCAAGGTCCCAAGAGCCGTCATAGTTGATACGGCAGCGAACAAGGTTGTCCCATTCCAATTCATCATCCTCGGGGTACTCTACGAACTGGCCGACCTAGAATCCAAGTACCTAGTAAGCATTATGTTGAGACTCATGTATCTTGATAGGATCACTTACAAGAACTTGAGCACCCTGCCTCCAAACGATCATCTGATTCTCGACATGCTCCCTCTTGAATGACCAGAGAAACTTGAACGATGTAGTCTGACTGTCAAGGAATTGATCCAAGGTTGCCTTAGAGATGTTGAAGAGCAGAGTGGCGACTGCGTCTGGGATCTTGACATCGCACTGTACCCCTATAGAGGTCAGGGAAGGCTCGTAGAGAGTCATATCGATAACGTGGGCATGGTCGGAAGGTGCGTTCGCAGGCAAACGCTCATAGACGCATAGGAACTGCACAGGAAGATAGTCGGGGTCGATGGACCAGGCGCCATTGCGGTCGCAGCTAATAGCAAGTACCATCGTGTTTGGCTTGTGAGGTTGATGTGTGATGTGTGGGGAGCAAGACTTCGTCCAAAGTTGTTTTGATTTCATACCAAAAGCTTGGACCACAAGGGGAGAAGCAAACGGCGGTGACAGTGCGCGCAAGTCAAGGTGAACGAGGATACACCACTTTTGGTTAATCATAGAGAGAAATCGATGTGTGGCGTGTGGACTGGAAAATTAGTAAGCCGTGCGAAAAAGGCAGATATGTTCTCATGACTAGAGGCGAAGTAATCGTGTTCGTCCATCAAATCTCCCTCAGTAGTTTGGACTGGGCAAGTAGATGAGAATTGAAGAAGAAGACACATCATAAAGATGAATTTTAAAGTATTCTAGTGACATATGAGAATCTGGAGTTCTGTAAGAGCCAGAAGAAGCTCGCACTATCTAGAAGTCCAGCATAGTATCCTTCCCACTTCCTCGCTTAGCTGGTCACAGTATGACTTACTCCTCCCAATGGAACTCCCTGGTCCAGCGCTTAGAGTCCCAGTACTGACCCGCCAACAGGTGATCAGCAACCTGCGTGGCCAACATTGCCCGCTCCGGCTGGCCTTCAGTAGTCTCGAAGCGGAGAGCCGCGAGGACACCACCGACATTGACCGTGTTTCCTGCCCAGACATTCTCCCAGGTGTAGAAGCCGATCATTTCGACGGAGAAGTAGTCGCGGTAGGCTGCGTAGGTGATCTTCCAGGCTCCAGTCGCATCAATAGAGCAACGGAGGAGGTTATCGAACTCCAGCCAACCCTGAACTTTGGCGTACTGGCCCACCTATGAGTAGTTTCGTTAGTGTCATGAGTTCCTAGACGCCTTTCCCAACTGTCACTTACCAAAACTTCGTTGCCTTTCTTCTTGATAATGATACGATCGTAGTGGCGATCGGTCTTAGATTCAAAGTCCATGTGGAAGTGCTTGGTGGGATGGAAGAACTTGGTGAGAGTGTTCTTGGAGACTTGATGAAGAGTTGTAACGATGGCGTCTTGGATCTTGATGTTGGTGATGACCTCGCCGTCGTTCTCCTTGAAGGTAGTAAGATCGATGATGTGGGCGTGATTGGCTGGAGCAGTAGAAGGAAGCTCGGCAAAGCTATCGACAAACTGGATGTGGTGGACCATCGTGCTGAAATTGATTTGTACTGAGTTGTGTTGTGTTGTGTTGTGGGAATCTTGGTGGAGGAGACGTGTGCTTTATATAGAGAGGCTCTGCACGATACCAGCACGTAATGACCCTGGCGTCTCTCACCCTGGCGTCTCCCGTGCAAACGGTCACAGTGGCGAAATCTCTCACCGCATAACCTTATTAGAAAACTACCTGCAAGTCTATTTGTCCTTCTCTCACCGTGATCATGGCGCTAGAGGTGATATTGGTATGTCTGCTGCCTGAACAAACGCACTGAAGGTTACACATGAAGCTATCGGAAGATGTATGTTGTCATCATAATATACGATGCCTCCGAATTTAGCTGTCCCCCATCATCCTGCGCAGCATCAGAACCTCGTGCTTTGTGACGAAGACGCTGTTAAGTCCCACCGATGCATCAGTGGGCGACTGCGATCCCATGTTGTCAAGCGCATCGACCAGATCACGCACCTTCGCGCCCTCCCAGCCTCCCCTGTCATCGGTCCAGAAAACGCGTTTGATGCCCACAGACGCCATGTAGGAAATGCATCGGTAGCAGGGTCGGGAAGCTAGGACGGTGGGTCGCTTCTCGTCCTTTTTTGGAGGCGGCGGGTGCTTGGTGCGTGCTGGTCTCGCAGGCTCTGGACTGGTGAGCTCGTCGTGTAACGAACCTGTGGCAGGGCGCGATGGAGGTAGCGTCGCAGCGTCTTCGTCTGGATCTTCGCAGCACACCTTCGGCGCACATTGCCAGCCCAGTCTTACGACGTACAGATCGGCTCCATTCAAACGTGGGCTCTTGGTCCTGTCTTTGAGATTGCGAGAGCTCTGTCCAGTCTGTCCCTTCGGCATGAGCATTGGCTGAATCCTGGCGATTTGGGGATTCTGTCTTTCATTCTATGATCGTCAGCATATGTGATAACAGAGCTTGGATGACGCACCTTTCCTGCTTTATCACGCTTATTGGATGACACTTCCGGCGACGAAGACGATTCAGAAGCGCTCGACGTTGGAGACTGATTGTAGCATGGGGCTACGATGGTCTGCCTACGCGCATGTTGTCGACCACTGTGTTCGTGTTGTCCATTGTTGGACTTGTTGCCAAGCTTGTGATGATGATGATTCTTCCCGTTCTTCAGGCGGTGTTTCTCCGTACTGTTCGCTTCCGATAAGGCCACGTTCTCGTTCTTCTCCTGGTCGTGAAACACAAAATTCAGTCTCGCGCGATCCAGATGCAGAGGATTCAAATCGCCACTCTTGAACACCAGACTGGGCACAGCCAGAGGCCGCGGTGGACTGGGCCAGTGCGGCCTCGCAGATGGCTTTGACGTACGAGTTGATTGCTTCCCTTCGTAGTCGTGACTTTCGTTTAGAATCACCTGATAGTTTAAAGCACGGTTTTTGGGAGGACACCGCGCTAGAAGCCAGCGTGCTGGAAGCCGAGAGAGCAGAGTGAATCGCCATCATCTCGCTATGCATAGATAACGGAGTGTTGGCGAGCTTTCCTCCCCCACCCATGCTTTCAAACGGCGTAAACGTCTTATTCATATGGCCTTCCGGTATACCTAGCTCTGGCTTAGCCGAGGAGCGCAGTGGGAGGCGCCCGGTCTTCAGGGCACCACCGTCGAAGCCAGAGCGATGATCATTGTAGCCCTGACCAATGACCTTACCGCCGCGGACTATGATGGCCCCATGGCGGTAGCGCAAAGGCGACTTAGCGGCCTGCTCGAGGCAGAGGTTAAGGTAATTGTCAGTCTTCATTTTGATGGACGGCAGGTATGACTGGACTTTCGATGAGATGTGGTTAAAGGCTGGTATTGCGAGTGAGTACTGCGGATGTTCGATTTTCTTCGTGATGAATCTGATAACAGAGTTGTATTTGGCAGCTAGTAAGACGTGTTCTGGATGCACAAGGAAGCATGAGTGTGAGTCTTGACGCGCGAGGAAATGGCACCCGGGTTAGCGTCTTGGCAACACTCAAGCTTCACGCGCTCTTCCTTTTTCACACCTCCATCGCAGACGAACGCGTCATCGTCGAAACGCAATCAGCCTGCGCAACCCTATGATTTATACGAAAGTTATTGTATATACAAAAAGTCTCAATGATCAACAAGCGGACGCCTACTCGGCCCAGACAACCGCGCTGAGACCGTCCTCGTTCTCCGGAATGCCGGCAGCCCCGATCCTAAGGTCCGCAACGCGCTCTCCCAACTTGCCGGTCGCCGGATCTCTTGGTACGATAGCTACGTTCGAAGTGGTCTGATCGCCAATGGCGACGAAGTCACCGGCCTTGTTGATGTCGAAAGTACGCGGGTACGTGCCATAAGACGACGTGAGGGCTGTCCATGTCAGGCTTCCGTTAGGAGAGATGCTGAATTGAGTAATTGAGTCGTTCGGCCTGAACTTCTTGTCGTTTCGGTTGCTGGTGTAAACGAAGTTTCCCTTGACCTTGATCTCGCCGACTTTGGTACCGGAAACGGCGGTGGCGTTGCCTTGATAAGGTGTGAGGGTCTGCTTCAGGGTCAGAGACATGCAGCCTCCCGATGCAGGGTATGACACCGCCCATGCCGACACGCTGTTGGAGAGCTCGTTGGCGATGAAGAGCACTGTGCCATCTGCAGCCCGGCGAACGCGCGAGTTCGCTCCTGCCGGTGCCCAGAAGGCGCCGTGCCTTGGTCCTGTTCCAGGTGGCGGCAAAGCAGCACCGCACTCTGTAAGATTGCCAGTTGTCTGGTCGATCTTGTTGATCCTGATCTTATCGGTTCCGAGATCAGGTACGATCAAGAAGTCGCCAGACGGGTCCACAAAAGCATGATGCGGGTGGGGAGCTTCTTGTCGGTAAGGATTGACACTTTTACCAGTGTACTTGATTGTCTGAAGCGGCTGTCCGCCAGTCAATGGCAGCTTGAAGGTCGTCAACTGCGAAGTTTGGCTTTCGGCTGGTTAGCAATATTCTTGTCTACTCAAGGGTACTGACTTACTAGTGGGCATTCGCGATGAAGCTTCTTCCATCCGGACCACCATAGAGCGTTGTCGCAACCACACCCTGAGGTGTAGAGCCCTTTCCGATGGATGTCACGTTGCCGTTCGCACCCGTAGAGAAGGATACCAAGTTTCCGCCTCCTTGGCCCTGGAAGACCTCATCTGGAATGTAGAGCGCCTTTCCAGCACTGTCATACGTAATCCAACTAGGCAGCTTGTTACCAGTGGAGGCCGAACTACTGAGAGTCAAGGCATTGCTGTTGAACGACAGGTAGTTGATGGTGCCGGAGTAGTGCGTCGCCCACAAGTTTGCCGCACTTGCGGCCGTGCCGAACAGCGGTAGAAGGAGTGAATGCGAATGGACCATGATGATTATGGTTTGCGAGTCAGGATGTATCTGTTACTGACTTTGGAGCACAGGGAAGTAGCATCGTTTTGTATGTTCGACGTGTGTTCTTTGACATTTCCACCAGACCGCCTTGCGTCACGCGCCCGCACTCGACATTTCGGAGCTACGACGATGAAACACCTGACTACACCCTCTTGGACTAAACAACCGACTCCATCATGCGTTTTGCTGAAAGCGAGGGTGCCACTTCAGCCTCGGTGAGTATGCGATTGTCCAAGCCGGTTAAAGGCCGCACGTCGGACAATATATAGCAATCTACAGCCATGTTTCGAGCAGGGGTACAACGTTTCAGCCGGTTGCCGACCCCAGGTTGATCAACATGGCGAAATTGCAGTAGCCTTGCATTTCGGTCTTTCATCTCGGGCACGCGCATGTTAAGATCTCTTGGCCAGGCCTTATACCGGGAATGCAGCCGCCACGCCGCTGCCCTATGTCGGTACGTGGATGCGGCTGCAGCGCACCTGGACACGTGTGTGGGTATAGACGAGGTGGCATCTCTTAATCTTTCTGCGACCAATCTTTGCCAAGAGGTAAATCAAGCTGAAGCCACCGCTTCTTGGTATAGCCGTAGCTTGGACGTTGTCGTGCGATGGAGGCAAGATCTGTTATTACCAGTACCAAATCCTCTTGGAATCCCCACGATTCCGACGAAGGATCCAAGGAAAGAGCAAGGTTTCCACTCTGGGCATTCTCACCCATTCATCGCAGTCATGTCTCCTGGTCAGATATGTTTTTTGGGTCTTCAGCCGTAGTGTATTGGGTCAATATGTATCTCATCATCAGAATCCACCTCTAGGATTCAAGCAATCCATAAGTATCTCGAGGACGTTAGCGGATGAATTTTTCCTGGGCAGCCAAGCCACTCTCCGACTTCCAGAATGATGAAAGAATACTACACATGGCTGATTGCAGCCTGCGCTCTCTTTTCTTGCACCACCGCTGCGAATTCCACATTGAGCGAATGTCTTGAGTCTCGCCAGGTCCCTGTATATGCTGCAGGCACCAAGAACTATACTCAGGCAGTCAAGCCCTTCAATCTTCGTTTACCATTCAAACCGGCTTCCTACGTCGTTCCACAGACCGTCAAACAAGTTCAAGATGCTGTATCTTGCGGAGTTGAGAGTGGTGTCCAAGTTACTCCGAAGTGCGGAGGCCACAGCTATGGATCACATGGTCTTGGAGGAGAAGATGGACACTTGATCGTCGACATGCGTCGCTTCAACAGCGTGACTGTTGATCAAGAAGTACACACAGCTGTTATTGGAGCTGGTGGAAGACTGGGTAATATTGCTCTGGCTCTTTACGACCAAGGCAAGCAAGCCATCAGCCACGGAACATGTCCTGGGTAGGTCCTCATCCTCATCACCAACACATACGTTTACTCACACTCTTCAGCGTCGGTGTAAGCGGTCTCACACTGCACGGAGGTTACGGCATGTCATCTCGCCTGCACGGCCTTACACTAGACCAACTTGTCTCTGTAACTGTCGTCCTCCACAACAGCAGCGTAGTAACCGCGTCACCAACCTCCAACCCCGACCTCTTCTGGGCCCTACGAGGCGCCGGCGCCGCCTTCGGCATCGTCACCGACTTCAAGTTCAAAACGTTTGACGCCCCCGAAAGCAACCTCGTATTCTCCTACAACCTCTCCCCATCCAACACATCGCAACTCGCCAACATCCTGACCGTCCTCCAAAACTTCACCATCCACGACCAACCCCCGGAGCTAAACATGCGCATGTTTCTCCCCAACCAACTGACTGGCGTATACTACGGCAACCGCAGCGCCTTCGACACCATCATGAACCCACTGCTTACCAAACTTAACATCCCACTCGAGGGCCGCGGCGCAGGTACTGTTTCAACGAAGAAATGGATCGACACTTTGACATCCTTTTCCAATGGCCCGTTGCCCCAACCAGAGATATACGACTACCACGAGAACTTCTACGCCAAGTCACTCATGCCGGAGTACCTCTCCCCCGCCGCCATGACCGCCCTCGCAGACTACTACTTCACCACCGCGCGCAACATCCGTGGCCGATCCTGGTACCTCCTCATCGACATGCACGGCGGCTCCGGCTCTGCGATCTCCAAAGTACCCGCAGACGAGACATCGTACTCGCACCGCAACGCCGTCTTCAAGATGCAGTTCAACGACCGCATTTTCCCTGACAGCGCGACGTACACGCCTAAGATGATGGAGTTTCTGAATGGCTGGGTCGATGCGATTGAAAAGGCGAGCGAGGGCGAGCAGTTTGGCATGTATATCAATTATGCGGATACGAACCTTACCAAGGCGGATGCGCATTCGAGGTATTGGGGAGAGCATTATGAGAGGTTGGTGGGGATTAAGGGGGTGTATGATCCACAGAAGGTGTTCGAGGGGCCGCAGTTGGTGGGTAGCTAGATCTTTTAGTTGTAGGGGTAGACTTTTGAACTGAATGCGAGACATATGAACATAACAAATGAATGAGAAAGAAGTGATCTGCTTGCTCGAGAAGAAAGTCTATACGGCCTACAAATACACATTTACACACTTGGATCTGTGTCTACAAGAACTCGATGCCGACACCGAAGCTCAGTCCTTTCCTGCCTTCCTCCTTGGCCCTCATGACAAGTGGAAGAGAGAAGTTGATCTCGAACCTCGCAACGGGGTGTGCGTATACAAGGCCCAGACCAGCTGCCGCACTGGGGAGTTCAGCAGTGAGGCTGGAGAAGGACTTTTGAATCGCGCCAGTTACGTCGCTTGAGCTGCCGAATGATCCGTCTTCTTTCTTGGAGTTGGGGTTCTTGAGTGCGAGGAGACGGCCACCATTGATGAAAGCTTGGAGACGGAGAGGAGTCTCCTTGCCGACGCGCGGGATAGGGAGGAGGAGCGATGCGCCACCAGCAGCGTAGATGTCGCCACCTAGTGCATCAGCGCCGTCACGAGGACCAAGACCAGCGATGCGGAAGCCACGAACGTTGTTGGGGCCGCCGAGCTGGAAGCGGTCGTTGATGCGCGAGGCCTGGGGCTGGCTCTCCCCGCCCAAAGCCATGGGGTAGAGAAGTCCACCCCGTAGACCAGCAGTAAGCGTGATGCCTGTGTTGCCGAAGGGGAGAGCGACTTGCGACTCTGCCTCTGTCTTCCAATATGCGGTGTCGCCCTTCAGCGGTCCCCAACCTGCGAGTTCGGATACGGTCTTCAAGAAGTAGCCGCTGCTAGGCAGGAGAGGGTAGTCGCGCTTGTCGTTGACCCAGGTATGCGAGATGCTCGACTTGAATGAGTCACCAGCATCTGCGCGAACAGAGGGCGATGCGTTCTCAGCCAGACTAGTCACCTGTCGCCAGATGCCAGAGTAGCCAAATTCGTGTGTCGCACCGTTCTTCATCCTCCATAGTAGCTTTGAGTTTCCACCCTTGAGGACTTCCTCATGGCTTGCCCAGCTCTTCAGTGTCGAACTCGCGAATCCGTTGACCTGGAACTTGAGATCGGGGTTGCTGAGGATGGGACTGTCGAAGGCGAGAGAGTAGGCAGACCGTGTTCGCGTGCCCAGCGATCCGTGTGCGTTCAGCGTCTCGGCTCCACCAAGCAGATTTCGAAGTTCGGCGTGGACGTAGGCATCGGCTTCAGAGGCTCCAGCTTCGGTTCCGGTCTTGATGGTGTAGTTGCCGCGCTCCTGGGCCGATATGTACACGTCAACATCCGTGGGGGAGGAAGAGGCGATGGTCTGGTTTGGACGGTCAAGGTAGACTGATATTGGCGACTTGAAGATACCTAGCCAATGTTAGACAAATGCGAGCCCCTCCGTCGCGTGCTGACGTACCAAAACGATTGAGCTTATCGGTAGCTTCGCCAACTTCCTTTATCGCATCTTCGAGAGTGTATGGCTGGTCCCGGTTTGCGCTCAGCAGGGGGTCGACTACTCGTTCGAGGAAGCTTCTTCGTGTGCGGTTGGCGTGAAGGATGCGGACTGACGATATCGTCACGGGTAGCGACGAGTTGTCTTCAATCTAGCACAGCCTCAGCAACAGCCCCAATTGGATGTCCAGAATGCATACCAGCTCTCCTAGCCTCTCCTTTGACCTCTGCTGCTGGGCGTAGAGCCGCGCATTGAGCTCATCCTGCTGGCGCTTCTGCTCGTTCAGGTCCGTCTTGTTCTTGAGCCTTTCGAAGACCTGGGGCCCAATTAGCGATGTGCCATTACTCCCACGATGCACGCCTACTCACATCGTCTTCATGCGGCGAAGCCATTGGGCTGTCTGTGTCTGCGTGCGTGATGCTTGGCGTTGTTCAGAAACCTTGAACTCTAGATCGCCGCGGGCGGCGGATGCACGTGCGCTTACTCTCCAACTGTTCCAAGGTCGTCTAGACGTGCGACCCGAACTCTTTCACCAACGACCTAATTCACCTATCGCGCCTGCCTTTGTGATTCTTATCCTTTGTCTATCGCGGGGTAATCACTGAAAAACGTGCCACGCCTTCTGCACTGTTATCTGGTGGCCACCTATACAGCGCATCCGATAGTCGACGTCAACTATCTCCGCCCAGGAACACGTCGACCACCCCAACCACCCACTCACTCACTCTTCCCCCACATTCACATACCATGGCGACGCCAGCAGCCACCAAGCGCCTCACAAGAGAATACGCTTCCATCTCCAAATCACCACCGCCATTCATTACTGCACACCCTTCGGATAGGAACATCCTAGAATGGCACTACATCATCACCGGCCCACCAGACACACCCTACCATGGCGGCCAGTACTGGGGCACGCTGAACTTCCCGCCCGACTATCCCTTTGCGCCGCCCGCAATCCGCATGCACACACCGTCCGGTCGATTCCAGCCCAGCAGCCGGCTGTGCCTCAGCATCTCCGACTTCCACCCTAAGAGCTTCAACCCCGCATGGGAAGTCAGCACGATTTTGACGGGCCTGCTGAGTTTCATGACCAGCGACGAGATCACCACGGGTAGCGTCCGGGCATCAGAAGCAGAGCGGAAACTCTTCGCCAAGCGCACACGGTGGTGGAACAGCACAGGCGGCGGCAGCAAAGCATCTGGGTCAGACAACGCCGGTGGTCGCCAGAACGGCAACATTCGGGCTGGAGATGGCGGCGCAAAGTTCAGACACGAGTGGCCTGATGTGGACGAGGAGAATCTCAAGTGGATGAAGGAGAACCGCATCGACCCCCTCACGGGCCTACCACGGCCGGCAGCACCAACCCCTTCGCAGCAGCCAGCCTGCTCGCCCGACGTCTCCGGCCTGCGACGACGCCCCGGCACAAGCGCAACGGTTGTTCAGGATGCAGCGCAAATAGCACGCGATGCAGGTCAAGGCTGGCTGAGCCGCAACAAGTGGAGGATCGTCCTTGGAGCGATGATGCTATACATCCTAGTCGCGAGGGTACTAGGCGACGGTGCAATCGCAACTCCTGCTTAGAGCGAGTGGTCATCACAGGATGGGGCATAGTATAAGGATAGTAGGTAATGTGCATCAGCGGAAGACACAGGTCACGATTCGTTCAAATCGGCATTTACTTTGGCGTTGGTGGGCGCTCGGCATACCCAAATTTCAGCCGAGCACTCTGTATGATACCTTTGATAGTAGCAAACAAGGACAAAAACATGCTAATGTTCTTTCTCCAATCCGCTCTCTTCTGGTCGGTAATGTTTGACTCTGGTCTTGCGTTACTCGCCACCGACCATCACCGCCATGCCCCTGTATTATCTTGAGACTTTCATAATAGTGTTGGCACACGGTACTCCGTACCTACCTTACTCCCCCATCCACCTCAAGGAGACCTGACAACCCGGGCACCACAGCCTCGTCGCGTCGCCACAAGTAGTGCTGGGTGGACCCAACCGGCAAAACTAGGCTTTTTACGGCCACGCTACTCACGCGACAATGCGATGACGCAGTGGAGATCCCCCACCAGCCACAGCATTTCCATGCCTCAATCTCAGGCAACCTCCCCCATTTCAAGTCTGACATTGCAATATTGTTTGCTCAGCCTGGCATCGAATTCTACAACTCGTGGTTCGAATGACTCTTCTCCACACGTCAGCAAACCAGCCAACTTGCAAAGTCCTAGCTAGCCCTGTGTTTCGCATCCCCCACCCATCCCCGTCCCGTTGGTTGGTCCCTGACGTCGAAAGCTCAAGCTTAACAAACGCATTTCCCAGCTGTACATGCAGGGATGCGCATAGACTGATCGGCAGGGTCGTGGCGAGCTACGGCGGCGATTGGGTGGCTGAAAAGCTTCAGTGTAGGTTGACACCATTTTCCCGTAAACGTGCTTGATAGATCGCGCGGCGGCCTATGATGGTATGTGTGCATGCGGACTTTGTGGGACGTGGGATCGTCGTTTTTTACTTCGCGCAGGGTTTCGGTCCCGGTGGAGCGGGTGAGAGGTTGGAGGTATATAGGTAGGAGGGGTGGGACGCTGTTGGGTTTGTTTCGAAACATTTCATCGATATTTCAGCTGTTCTCAAGTCATTTGTGTGTCTTTCTGATCTTTCGATACTGCTATTACAATCAAGCATGCGCTTCTCATCTCTTCTCTCCTTCGCCATTGCGAGCGCGTCCATCTCCGCTGCGCTGCCGACAGATTTGACCAACTTCCTGCTCGTCACCACCTCGCAAATAGATGCTAGTGCGAATACCTCCGAGCTCAAAGCCGTATCCGCCACCTCGTTATTCGTAAGTCTTTACAGCAACCATCGGAAATAACCCATCGCAATATCTAACATCGCATAGGACCCGTTCCATCAACCCGCTCTTCTCCTCCGCCTCACAGGCCCCGGTTACGGCTCCCTACCCAACTTCACCCTGGCAGACGGCACACTTTCCACCATCGCCTTAGCTCCCTTCGGTAACACATACAGTCGTTTCAACAGTACGGTTGTGACAGCCGGGTCGGAGTTGCAGTTCCTCGCTTCGGTGCAGCCAGCGGGCAATATCGCGTTGGACGAGGGATACCTCTTGACGGTGGATGGCCAGAGGGAAGGCTGGACGATATGTGAGGGTGCGCTGAGTAATGACGTGTTGAGCTGGAGGGGCAATGCGAGTGATTGCACGAAGACGTATGTGCATGCTGTGTTGAAGGCGCCGTACTAGACTCAAATATATCTGGGGAGCGTGAATACCTTGGCCAGTTCGAGTAAAGCAAAAACGATGTCTGATGGCATAGCCTCAATAAACTTGACTTTCATCCTGTGCCGTTTAGAAACTTGCGCCACCAGACTGTTTCCGCGTCCAGGAACCAGGGGCTCGCTGCTGCGATTAGTTCTTCTGGTGATGGCGCTGTTCCTGGACCCAAGTGTGCGAGAGCCATGACGAAGACGTCGCAGGTTGTTAGGCTTGTGCGTGCGAACACGCTGTTGGTGATGTGATGTGGCATGGTAGCTCTGACGTTTCTGGT